CTGAGAGCTATTATTACTTCCTACAAGATACTGTATGTGTTATGTACTGGGAAAGATACAAAGATGAAAAAGACAGGTACCTGACCTCAGAGCCTACACGCTCTTCCCAAAAAGTTAGCCCTTAATAATCACTGGCTGAAAAGAATCAGTTGTTGAATGGAACAAACATTCTGCCCTTAGAATCTAACTGTAGAAAAGACACATATGCCATGTACCTGAAGATGATTGTTTTCTCTGATCTATCCTGCATACCACAGCTACCAAAGTGATATTCCTGAACCTCCGGTCTGACTACCTCATTCTCCTGCTCAAAAAAGCTTCAGTGGCTCCCTACTGCCCCTAGGGTCCAAAACAAACTCTTCTCTTTGATATTTAAAGTTCTTTACCAACTAGCTCCAGTATCTTCCCAGGCTTATTACACATTATCCTCTTCATGAACTCTCAGTTCAAATTGGCCTCTTTGCAAATTCTCACACACAACATTCCATCTCCTTTTGGGTGTCCTTGCAGAGGTTATCTCCCATGACTACAATGCACTCATTTCTCATCTCCACCTCTTAAAATAACTCACTCCATTCAGACCTCACCTCGACTGCCACCCACCACTTGAGGTGTTTCCTAATCTCCCACAAATTATTTTTGTTCTTTATATATACGTGTTGTTTCTCCTGATAGACTGCAGGGTCCATTTCATTTTTGTCTCTGTATTGCCCATGTTATTTACTTCCAATCCTACAGCCAAGAAGGTGCCTACTAAGTACTTACAGAACTTCCTTCTTTCTAGACTAAGCCAGTAGTTACTTCAGACATGTATAGTACAAGTATAAAAAAAGGAAAGAAGTATCAAGTAATAATGTAGACAGCTCTTCTATTATTTGCCAGTGTTTTGAAGAGAGTGTGTCAACCACAGATTCTTCTTTGATATCCATAATTCTTCTCTGAAGAATAAGCTCAATGCACATTGCCACAAACTGAAAGAAGATCCATTACTTATACAAAGAAGCTGACTGATCCTATTCTAGGGATGTCACACTACAACTTTGCTATTGCATTAACAGTTATTTACACTTACAGAACATTACAACATAAGGGCATAAGGAAGTGTGAGCACTATACACCTTGTTATCATCCATTCTCCTACTGCATACTGTGTTATGACCTAGTAAAGCAGCCAACTGCCAGTTGGACAGAGCACACGAAGGATTCCAAATATGTCACAGGAAGAGCAGTTCATAGATTCCAGACCTACCATAAAATAGCTCTCTATACCAGTTATTCTAAAAACATGCTTGGCTGAGATAGGAAGAGGCCAGGAACCACACAGTTAAAATGCTTTTCAACCATATACTAAAAAAAGAAAGAAAGAAAAAAGAAAATGCAAAACCTGGAAACGGTCGATTTAAAAAAAATTGGAAATTTCTAAGGTCATCATTGTGCTTCAGTTTTCCAAAGTAAAATCAAATAAATATCAATCCCAACACTGAAATATTTGAAGAAAGCTTCCCCTCCAAATGCAATTACCTTTAAAATAAGCAGCTTCTAGAACCTGCTCAAATTTAACAAAATTTTCTTTTTTCCTAAAGCTAGTATTGCTCATTTTATGTGCATATTTAAGATAGGAGATATTACCAAGATTTTACCTTGGAGCATCTACATTTCAACTTCAGTGCATGAGGGCACAATCCAGGAGCCAAACATGTTCTTCTCACTGTGCCCTCCCCACAGCTCTGGCTTCCGCCTCTGGCACAATCCCCATGCCATCACAGAGCAACAAGCCATGGCTCTCTCCTAGCTCTTTCTGGAATTGCTCCTGTAATTAATGTATTACTGACCACAAGAAAAAAAAGGGGCATGGGCCCCTTGGAAAAAGTGTTCTCTCTATAGTCTGTCTACAGACAACAGGACAGTGTGCTTCTTCTACAGCCATACAAAGGCTTTGCTCCTGTGCATTTTCAGGTTCCAAATTGGTCCCATTTGGATCTTCTAGATAAAAAGCACGTGATGTCTTCAAACAAAGAATTCTATAAGTTACACATTTTGGATCTTAGATTTTCAATAACCTAAGGACAGCTACCATTATCTTGTTCCCCCAAAACTCTCAAAATACATACAGTAACATTCATTAAATATGGAGAGGGAGAAACGAGGAGATGTGTAACAAAATTAAACAGGAATATGGTGAAAACTCCCGAACAACTGGCAACAACTGGCTTCAGCATAAATTGTGCTAAGATACTGTGTAAAGTTGTTTGTATAGCCTTTCTTCATTATGAAACAATTTCATACATAACTTTACCTTTAAATAAAGTAAGTAACCAAATAACCTGCATCAAGAAGCCCATAAGCACTCCTGTATGATGGGCAGGGTCATGGGAAGGTCAGGTGAAAGAAGGAATGGAAGGGCCCTTCTAGGTGTTACCAACAATGCGGGGGTTAAAAATAGAAATGACAGATCTTTCATAATTATCTTCATACATGTGCCACTCCTAATTCATAAGATACTTTACAGTCTACTAGGTAACACTGGCCAACAGGGTGTATTTCTTTACAATCAATATAAAGCCAAGAACACTGATATGAATCAAGACTGCTATTCAGCAAGAGCTCCTGCCATGCAACTGGAGGAAAGCTGAGATGGTGACAATCCTTAGCACCTCTCTCCAACTCTCTCTATTGTCTTGCTTGGCCAGCCATATTGCAAGGGAGATAACATGAGTGAGATCAGGACAAATCCATCCCTTCTCAAAAACAACTCCGCTTCCATGCCCAGCTGTTAATGCCTATGTCTCCTCTTTACCTACAGAAAAGGACACACCGATACGAATGAAGTCATTTCTGAGGCCACAGATGTGGTCTACTTTCTAAGAAGCGCTGTGCATTTAGTTCATATAAGGCTGCTGCTCACAACCACCTCATGAACCTGGGAGAAAAGAGATGCTAACATTTTGAGTTTACAAATAGGTAAATAAGAATTAAAAAGGTAGTGATTTATTTACACAAGGTTACACTGGCATTCTGGTTCAATTTTCTCTAATCCTTTTTCTAACCTTAAAGGTGTTTCAACAGGGAAATACCTTCCTATGAGCTTAATTTGGCATTGTAAAAGAGATCCAAGTGCTGCCAAAAATGAACACAAATAACATATATACCATAGAGTAAAACCTCCTAGAAGACTAAACCCAAACAAAGAATAGGTTGGTTTATACTGCTGAACAGGTCAACACAATGTTAATTCTTTTCCTTTTTCTTTCTTTCCTTTTTTTTGGGGGGGGAGGAGGAGGCAGTCAGGGTTAAGTGACTTGCCCAAGGTCACACAGCAAGTAAGTGTCTAAGTCAGGATTTGAACTCAGGTCCCCCTGACTCCAGGGCCCATCTACAGCACCACCTCCCAGCTCCAACATAATCTTATTTCAAAGGGCTTCCCTCTTTAAGTGCTTGTTTCCATTAAACAGAGCCCCAGTAACCCTGTTCTATATGGCTTTGAATCTTACAGGGCACTTTGTTTTGCAACCCTCTAAAGCATTTATTAAGTAATGTAAGTTAGCATTATCCATGTTTGCTTCTTAAGTCCAAGACAGTAAGGGCCCTAAGGGCACAGACTGTTTCTCTCCTAACTTTGTATCTCTCCCAGCATACCTCTGAACACAAGAAATAGGGATTTAATAAACATTTGATAAAGTGGAATACCGATGGGTACTTATAGGCATAGGAACCCTCCCCTTTTACCCTCCACCCAGGTTAAGGTCTACAGTTATTCATCTCCTATGGTTTTTTTTTTTAAATAGAAACAATGAATAATGAGAAGCATGGGTTTAAATGCTTTTTAAAAATCAATCTAAACTATAAAGTCGAAGCTCTGCCCTTAATCATATGACTCCAGTCAAATCACTTAACCTTTGTCAACAATTATGTTTCTAAATAAACAGTAAATAAGATGATACACAAAAATCTTTTTTAAAATTCTTTTGACTAAGATCATCGGATTATAAGTTTACCCACCGAAGAGTTCTCAATGATCAAATAATTCAACCTCTTCATCTTACAAATAAGAAAACTGAGGCCAAAGAGACAGTAAATGACTTGTCCAAGACTATACAGATAGAGAAGAAGTGAGCCTGAAATTGAAAGTTGGTCCTCTGACTCCAAATTCAGGGTCTTTTGCTACCCTACACTGCATAGACATATCTTGGACATAAGAAAAATGATCATTTTTATTTCATTCAATTCTAATTTACCTTAAAACATAGAAAAACACTTCCCCCTTCAGGCATTCTTTTTCTGAGAATAGCTTGTCTCTTCTCAATATTTAAATATATGTATTATTTTAGAAGGCTAGAAAATGTCTCAGGATAAAATTTCCATTTAACACAACTCCAGACAAAAACTATTCTTCTACTTGGAATTTATTGGAAAGAAACGTTTTCCGTTTATACAAATAGTGACCTTGTTTAATATGACCAACTCATTTAATGTAACGTTTTTTCAAATGTCACTGTAGATTTATTTGTCTAAATGTCTTCAATTTGACATTTATCAAATGGTAAGGCAGAGAGGAGAGAAGCCTCAGCTTCAGGAAACCCATGTTCCAGGCCTGATTCTGCCACTTACTACCTGTGTGACCTTGGACAAATTCTTTAACCTTTCTGGTCTCAGTTTCCTTTTCTGGAAAAAGAAAGCCACAATGCTTTCATTCCCACAGAGCCACAAAGGTTCTTGCCTCATTAATTCAGCATTCAGGAGAAATACCCTATCCAAATTCTCATTCTCCTGTTTCGTTTTGTTTTATTTTATTAAGGTCAACTAGTCTCTACAGACCCAAGATTATCACTCATCCACATCCCATCAGAGCCACAGTAAACAAACCAAAGGCATCTCACTATCACAGCAAAACACCTTAAGTTCCCATGCAGAACTTTGTCTTTAGAGAATAAACCAAAATGAGATGTTATGAAACAGGATCTGTTCCAGGTTAGGAACTGTCTACCAATTATTATACTTACTTTTTTTTTAAGGGCATAAACTGTAAAATGTGAAATTGAAGAGCTTACAAAAGGAATGCTGAGGAAACCAATTTCAGAAAAAAACATCCTGTCTCTGGTTCTGAAATGTTCTCATATCTATGTCTGAGATGAGATTAGGTCACTACAGTTTTCAAAATCATCCAGTCATGGTTTTAAATCCATTTCTAAATGTTCCTTGTGCTGAAAGCCAATGTATTCAAACCATAAAACACAAAGGATTCCTTGCTTTCTTTTTACAGCTAGAAGACAAGACATCCCTTCCTTGCTCTACCTGTGTTCCTACTAGTGAGAATAAAAATTTCATGATAACTGACCAATGCTACCTACAAGCCAAAATGTCACCTCTCAAGTGAAAGGGAAAAACTAGGAGTGCAGTGCCAGCAAGAGGGACCTGATGTGCTGGTAACAAAAGTATTTCTATCTCTGTACTGGGAATAGGAATCATGGGTTGACTTTTTTTTTTAAAGACTGCTGACAGAAAGAAGTAGGAGGAAAGTTCATATAAATCATATTCCAGTTTCTGTTGACAAAATAATAGTAATATTGTCAAGACTGCAAGGGCTAAAGCACCTGCCGTAGTTCCAATAACACCCCAGTTTACAACCCTGGGCTCCTAAAAAGGTTCTGTATCCTAAAGTGCCTGTGACCTAACACCACACACAGATGTAGTAATGCTAAACCAGTCTCAGTTTCTCTCTGTCTCTCTTCACACCAGCCAGCTCCCATTACAAAGACCTCATGTCATTTTCAAAACCCATCATCAAGAAAGGAGAGGTTGCTCAATTTCACCCCCTGGCAGAAGCACAGAGGAGGCAAGTGGCAAGATAATCGAAATTTTATGGAAATTAGTGTGTCAGAATCTGGAGTCACCCTCCTCCTCCTTCAACTTATAAAAAACCTGGGGCTGGGGCAGGGGAGGTATATGGCCTTCAAAGTACCTGGTACAGAGCTAAAGGTGAAAAAAAAATACCCCACACAGGAATGAGGTTAGAACTGGGGAGGGGAGTGTTAGAGTCAGAAATAGGGATGGAAGAATGAGGATAAGGACTTGAAGATAGGGGTAGGGAGAGTCCAGTATGGGGAAGGGGGGAAGTAGCAATACATATTAGGGAAGTAATGAAATGAAGGGGAGAAAGAACAGGGAGGAAGGACAGAAATAGGGGTTAAGGAATAGGGATAAGGATGACAGAAAGGGATGAGGGGAGTAGAGATAAAGGTGAGGGAGTATAGGGATAGAGAAGAGTAGGGATAGAGATGGGGAAATAGAGATGGAAGAGAGTAGGGATAAAGGTGAGGGAACGGATGGAGAAGAGTAAAAATAAAGGTGGGGGCAGGAGGAAGAGAAGGCGGTAGTGATGGAAAGAGTAAGGATAAAAGACAGAGGAACAGGTATAAAGGTGGGAGGAACAGGGATAAAGGTGAAGAGGAGTAGGAATGGGGGTAGGGATGAAGATGAGTAGAGATGAAGGTGTAGGGGGAGAGTAGAGATGGAGGGAGTAGGGATAAAGGTGGGGGGAGCAGAGATGGGGGGCAAGGATGGAGGGAGTAGGGATAAAGGTGGAGGGCAGCAGGGATAAAGGTGTGGGAGCAAAAATGGTGGAGTTGGGATGGAGGAAGTAGGCATAATGGGGATGAGCAGAGATGAGAGTAGGGATGGAGAGAATGGGGATAAAGGTGCGGGGAAATAAGGATGGAGGAAATAGGGATAAAGAGGGAAGCAGGGATGGGGGCAAGGATAGAGTAGAGATAAAAGTGGGGGGAATAGGGATGGAGGAGGTAGGGATAAAGGGGACAGCAGGGATGGGAGTAGGGATGGAGAGAATGGGGATAAAGGTGGTGGGAAATAAAGATGGAGGAAGTAGGGATAAAGAGGGAAGCAGGGATGGGGGCACAGATGGAGTAGGGATAAAAGTGGGGGGAATAGGGATGGAGGAAGTAGGGATAAAGAAGGAGGAGGAGAGATGGAGGAAGTAGGGATAAAGGGGGGAGCAGGGATGAAGGGAGTAGGAATAAGGTGGGGAGCAGAGACGGAAGAAGCACGGATAAAGGGGGGAGCGGCCACGGAGGAAGCACGGATCAAGGGGAGGAGGGTCGCGGCTGGGCTGACACCTCCAGGGACGAGCAAGAACAATGATGCTCTAGCGCAGGCCCCGCCCCCCCGCTCCAGCCCCACTGCACAGGGGATGAGTAACCTCCCGGCCGCAGCCCCGGCAGTCACGACCCCCGCGCCCCTCCCCCACGCCGCGGGGCCGGACCGGCCGGGCGGGGCCGCGCTCACCTCCAGGTCCGTGTCGGCCGTCTCGGCCGCGCCGAGGATCTCGCTGGGCAGCTCGGCCAGGTCGGTGACCCGGATGAGGCCGTCGTGCAGGAAGATGGTCTCCTCCTTCACCGAGAGCCACTGCGCCGAGTCTGCGGCCGCAGCCGCAGCCGCCGCCGCCGCCGCCGCCGCCGAAGAGCCCATGGCCGAGCGGCGCGAGCGGGGCTGGGGGAGCCGCGAGCCGAAGCCGGAGCCGGAGCCGGAGCCGGAGCCGGAGCCGCCTGACGACGAGCCGGAGCCGGAGCCGCTAGCGCTCCATGGCCGCCCCCGGCCCCGGGGATCCGCGCTCGCGCCCACGCCGCCGCCGCCGCCCTAAGCAGCCCGAGGAGCCGCTGCCGCCGCCGCCATGTCTCCACCCCCGACCTGGAGGCCCCGCCGCCGCCGCCGCCGCCGCCGCCGCTCCCGCGCCTGCTCCCGCCGCTGCCGCCGCCCTGAGGAGCCCGATCCGCCTCCGCCGCTCCTCAGCCAACTGTCAGTGAGACGCCATGTTGGGGGCGGAGGCTCCCGGCATGCCCCGCGGAGCGGACAATACAGGCCCCGCCCCCGGCCGCCGCCTGGCCCCGCCCCTGCCCGGGAGTTCGGGACGGACGCCCTTCCTCCCCCCTCCCCGGCTCGGCCCTCTCCGCGCTGCTCTGCCCCCTCTCGCCCCGCCCGGCTCCACCCTGGGCTGCGGCACCCTCTCCCTCCGCTCCTCCCCCCGCACCTCGACAGCCTCCCTGAAGGTCTGCTCCCGGCCTCCTGGAGGTGGCCCTTGATGTGACCTGCCTAGCACTCTCCGCTCCGACCATTGGTCAGCCGTCAGTCAAGCCGCATCTCCGCCCCTCCCACGCCCTTTTATTGACAGGGAGCAATAATGCTTTTCAGTCCCCAGAACCTTGCTTCAAGCCTCTGTGGTGGGCCAGGCACCGTGCTTGGTCATTCAGCCATCATCATTTATTAACCACCAACTGTGTGCCGGGCCCTGTGCTAAGCCCTGGGGATCCAGAGGCGAGATGGCAAATCAAAACAGTCAAGGCAGCAAGCACGTATTAAGAGCCTACTATGTGTCCAGTCCTGTGCAGGAGGTAGCCCCTGCTCCCAAGTCTGGGAATGCAAAGATAAAAAATGAAAGAGCCCCTGCCCCTAATGGAGCTTAGGTTCTGCCGGGGGAGGAAGGGAGGCGGACCAGAACGCGCCATGATGTAACCCTCAGAATCATCGATGGGAGGGGTCCCAGAGGCCGTCAAGGCCAGCCTTCCTCATTTTACAGATGAGGAAACTGAGGCGCCGAAAGGTCGGAATTTAACCTCTCAGTGTCCAAGGCAACTCTTTAAGACCATAAATTGCCACGGATATTGGTAAAGGGAATTTTCTCATCCCAAAGTTCCCCATACCGATAAAATGGCAGGTTCATCCCCCTTGGGTGTGGGGCACTGGAAATGCAAAGACAATTAATTTTGGGGGGAAAATTGTTCCTGCCTTCAAGGAATTTATAATCCACTGGGGGAACACACTGCCAATTACATTTTATTTAGTCCGACAAGCGTTTATTAATCTGCCCATTTTGTGTCCAGAACCGTGCTAGGAGCTAAAGATATAAAGAAGAAGGGAAAAAAAGGGCCCTTCATCGGGGAATTGACATTCCACAGGGTGGAAACAACTTGTACTCCTGAGTTACATTTCTATGGCACTCTAAAGCATTATCTCATTTGAGCCTCACAACCTAGTGAGGCGGGTGCTATTATTATCCCTCTCACCTCTGAACAAGACAGTCTGACAGCACGGGTTGAATCACAGAATCTGAGTGGGGAGGGGCCTCAAGGACCATCTGGCCCACCCCTTCTCTGAACGACATGCTGCTCTGCAACGTCCCGGCCTTTGCTTGGAAACCCGCTTCGATGGGGAGCTCATTACGGGTGGAGGAAACCCACGTTCCCCTGGGGCAGCTGGGGATTGTCTGGAAGCCCTTTGGAATCTTGCTTCTCTCTGCTCCTTCCCTCCCTAAGGTCTCTTCCAATACAGTGCTTTGGTTTGTTAGCTCTAGGAAGCCACAGATTCGGCCTCCATGGTTAGCAAATCTAAGTGCAAAAGAATTTCTTGTCAAGTACACACACACACACACACACACACACACACACACACACACACACACGAAGACCCGAGTTAAAATCTGGCTTCAAGAGTTCACTATCTGTATGACCCTGGGCAACTCAACCTTTATCTGCCTCTATTTCCTCATCTGTAAAAGGGGGATAATAATAGCAGAGAAATCCCTGAGAAAATAATTTCTGAGAAACCTCCCAGGATTTCTACGAGAACAAATCGAGATTAAAGTGCTTTGCAAATCTTAAAGTGCTGTATGAATGCCCATTGATATGATCATATTTCTATTCTGCATCAGAACTAGAATGGAATTTACAAGAAGGCAAATTTTAGGTCAGTGTAAGAAAGGAAGACATCACATGGTTAAAAGGCCAGGAAGAATGCTTCAAGCGAATTGGGTTGCTCAATTTGAGGGAGTATTCAGGCTAGACTCTCAAAGAATATGATGTGGAGGACTTATGGTCTGCACCAGTAAAAACTCAAAGTCCCCAATGGCTAAAATTTATATAGTACTTTAAGATCTGCAAAGCACTGTTGCTTCCATATAGTATCTCCTTTGGTCCCCACAACAACCTTGTGAGGTCGGTGGTGTTATTATCCCTCTTTCACAGATGAGGAAATAGAGGCTCAGAGAGGTTTAGTGATTTGTCCAAGGTCATACAGATAGTAAGTGTCTGATGTAGGATTTGAACCCCTCTCCCAGCAAGCTTTCTACTGCAATACTTAGGAAAGCATAAGGAAGAAGTTTTCACCCTTTGGAGCTGTCCAGCAGAGGAAGGGGTTGGGGGTCTTAGAAGTTCCAAAAGCACTTTCTTTCCTATTTTTTTTTGTTTGTTTTGGTGAGGGCAGTTGGGGTTAAGTGACTTGCCCAGGGTCACACAGCTAGTAAGTGTTATGTGTCTGAGGCTGGATTTGAACTCAGATCCTCCTGACTCCAAGGCTGGTGCTCTATCCACTGTGCCACCTAGCCGGCCCAACGGCCTGTGAGACAGGTAGTGTAAGAATTATTCTCTCTACTAAATAAATGAAGACAATAAAAGCTGTCTTTCTGCTACCCTCTTTCTCTAGCATTCTTTCCATCACACCACATTCCTACTGTTAACTGTGTCTATGTTTCAGCCCCCTACTAGCCTGGAAGCACCATGAGGAAGGGGCCATGTTTTATTCTAAGTTTTGTATCTTCTCCCAGCACTTGGCACAGTGATCTGCACACACTAGGAATATAATAAGCATCTGATGAAGTGAAGTGAAGTGACCAATGTTGATATTACCCTTCTCTCAATGTCCGAATGCATCTGTGATGTCATCTTTTGAGGGCATTCCCTCCAGCATTGCACATAGCAACACATCTATTCCTTTTTGTTTGTATGATTCTTGTTTATAGCCAGTTGATCAATCAGTCAGTCAATACATTGATTAAATACCTATTATGTACCAGGCACTGTGCTAAACCTTCATTTTTAATTAAAATTTTATTCTTAAACTAACAGAAATCTGTTTTCTCTCCCATCCCATTGGGAAAAAGAAAGAAAAGGAAAACAAGTTCCTTGTAACAAAAATGCATAGTCAAGGAAAACAGATTCCCTCATTGTCCATGTCCAAAAACTGTATGACTCATTCCACACCCTGAGTCCATCAGTTCTTTGTCAGGAGGTGGACAGCCTGCTTCATCATCAGTCCCGTTGAATCAATGATGGTCATTGCATTGTTCAGAGTTCTTACAGCTTTCGGAGTTGTTTACCTTTACAATATTGTCACTGCAAAAAATTCTCCTCTTGGTTCTGCTCATTTCATTCTTCATTTGTTTATACAAATCTTCAAATTGGTTCTTTTTTTTAAAAATGTCAATGTTATAGTATAAATTCTGACTCTGCATCCCTTCCTGCCAATCTTTTCCATGTCTCTTCACATTCTTCCATAAACCCTCAATAGAGAATCTAGCCAAATGTTCCAGATGCTGTTCTTGGAGATTTTTTTAAAAAACATTCCCCATGTGCCCCAGTCAGGCTATCTGTCTGTTGTCCCTACTTCTGGATACATAATTGACCCACTTCATTTTTCTGATTATATGTTTTCCTGGATGATATCACAGAGACTCTCCAAGCTAATAAGAACCGCAGAGGCCATCCTGTCCATCCTGGACCTGAACAAGTTTCCTCTCTAAAACACTGCTTGTATCCATTGCTTATAACCTCCAGTTAGGGGAAGGAAACCTTCAAACTCCTGAGGCAGCCCATTCTATTTTGAGGTGACTCTAATTGGTAGGGAGTTTTTCCTGACATCAAACAAAATTTGCCTCTCTATGCCATTCCTTGGGGGCAAGTCATCTTATATAATATGCAGCTCTCTACCGTTTCTCTTTTGTCTTTGTAGACCAAACATGTAGCCTAGTACCTGATCCACCACACATTTCTCCATTGCTTTCTGTGTTACGTAGGCAGACTGTTACCCCATCTCCAATCAACAAAGTAGCATGATGGATAGAGTGCTCTCCCTGAAATCAGGAAGGCCCCAGTTAAAATCTAACTTCAGGCACTTACTAGCTGTGTGACCTTGGGCAAGTCACTTAACCTCTGTATGCCTCAAGTACTTCAGCTGTAAAATGGGATTAATGACAACACCTACCTCCTGGCTTTTAACTATCTTTATCTGCCTCAGTTTCCTCAGCTGTAAAATGGAAATAATAATATCATTTACCTTCCAGGATTGTTGTGAGGGTCAAAAAAGATAATATTGTAAAATGATTAGCACAGTGTCTAGGATATAGTAAGCACGCATAAATGCTAATTATTATTATTTTTATTAATGCTCCTGCCCTCCCACTCCCAATTATTCTGAAATCATGCTCAAATTCACTTTTATTGGCAACCACAATTATTCCTAAGTAATGCTATGACACATCAGTATTAAACTATGAAAGGCTTAGTGACCGTAATACTCCAACCCTCTCTTTTTACAGATGGAAAAATGAGCCCCAGCAAGGCTAAATTATTTGCTCAAGGTCATATAGGTAGCAAGTACTAGAGTGGTCCTCTGACTCCAGAGCCGGTACAATCTCCTTCCAAGTAGCTGTCCTAGCTCTCAATTCAAATTACAAAAAAGTGACCGAGCTATAGACTCTAACATGATATTATATGTGTGTAATTTACACATATTCATTTATTGGTCTAATATAGCACAACAGTTCTCAAAATGTGCTCTACAGACCCCTGGGCTCCCCAAGACCTTTTCAGGGGATCTGTGAGGTTAAAATTATTTTCATAATAACCCTAAGGCATTACTTGCCTATTAAAATTTTCCTCCCTTTTCCAACTACGTATCTACATGAGATTGTATTTTCTTTATATATTTCAACCAAAATAACACATCACAACAGCTTAAGCCAAACATAAAGAGATTTGCAAAAAGAAAAAATGTAAAACTCTTCTCACTGATTTTTTTGTTTGGAAAATATAGTTATTTTTCTATTAAAATATGTTATTTATGCTAACATGGAAGGATTGTTATTACTATTTTAAATGAATTAATAAATATAAACAAGAGGTCTTTGGAAAGTCCTCAATAATTTTTAAGAGTTTAAGGAAGTCCTAAGACCCCTGAACTCGAGCACAATGTGCCCAATACACCCACAGAAGCAGAGTGGTATTCTGGAAAGAACACAGGGCTTGGAGTGGGGACATCTGGGTCTGAAGCTTAACTCTGACTTTTACAAGCTAAGCATTATTAAGTGAATGAATGAATGATTGAATCTAGCAATCTCACAGGATTGTTGTGAGAATGTTGTCTTTTTTTAGTTGTGTCCAACTCTTTCTGACTCCATTTGGGGTTTTCTTGGCCAAAATATTCGAGTGGTTTGCCATTTCCATCAGGTCATTTTACAGATGAGGAAACTGAGGTACACAGGGTTAAGTGACTTGCCCAGGGTCACACAGCTAGTATCTGAGACTGGATTTGAACTCTGGTATTTATAAAAACCAGTATTCATAGACTCATAGAATTTAAGAGTTTGTAGAGATCTCAGCAGCCTTTTGATGTAACCCATACCCAGCCAGAATCCTCATTAGAACATACATGATAGGTAGCCATATTGCCTCTTAAAGAACACCGTGCAATTTTTACTTACAACACCACTAATGTGAAAATATGTTTAATAGGAATGTATAGCCTATATCAAATGGTGCGCTGTCTTGGGGAGGAGGGTAGGGAGGAAGGGGGAGAAAAAATTTTAAACTCAAAAGCATATGGAAGTGATTATTGATAAATCAAAATAAATTAATAAAATTTTTAAAAAAAGAACACCATGACCCAAAGACATGCAATATCTCTAGAAGAACATTAATATTTTTAAAAGATGGGGCTTTGCAACAGGGGCCATTTAGAGTAATTCAAATCCCTATGCTAGTCCCCAAAAGGAACCCAACCTGCTCTTTTTCCTGTTCAACTCTGGGCCCATTGTTTATTTTCAAAGGCTATCCAAGATATATGTATTGATATATTGTCTCTGTCCACACGTCTGCATATCATTTCTTGGACAATAGGCATTCTTTGTCCACTTGGTTTTTCCTATGTGGATGATTCCATTGAACTCTTTAAAAGGAAACAAATCTCATTTATGAGGCTCTGCAGTCTTGTGGGACTTGATGCAATTAGCACAATATCATCCAGCATTTGGAGGGTCACGTTATCTTTAGAAAATTGCTGGTATCAGAGCAGCCAGGCAGCACAGTGGAGGAAGTGCTGTACTTGAAGTCGCCCTAACCTCTCTCACCCTTGGTTTCCTCATCTATAAATAGGCATAATTATAGCATATTATTAATAGCATATAGGGTTGTTATGCAGATCAAATGAGATAATATTTGTAAAATGCTTTCCAAGTATTAAAGCGCTATGTAAATGCTAGTTATTATTATTCTTTTTGTACTCTTCCATGGACATCTTCCTTAACAAAAATGAACACTGCTATAGAGTAAACCCTATTTTAGGCCTTGCTTGCTATTCTATTAATAATCAGAGTCTTTGAAGAAAATCATTTCTGTTGTTACATCTTTCAAAGAATCTTGTATGATTTTGTCACATGCATGAGAGAATCTTTCTTAGAGGAATCCTTAATGTGGCATTTTGCTTTATCAAATAAAAAAAAATTAACCAGTCAACAAACAATAAACATAGTGGGAGCTTGTATTCCCTATGCCTTTCAGTCAGTTTTGTAACTCTAAACATGTTGTCTGCTGTGGAATATTGTTTGTGAAAATCTACCTTTTCACTTCTCAATCTTTCATTAAGGATGCCCTCTGTGCACATGCCAATTATGCTTATAAAAATTATGTATATCTGAGAAAGCAGTCCTGTAGATCATTAGTTACTAGTAATTTCAGTTACTTTTTTTTGATAATAAGGTTTGAAAATTTTTCTGAGCCTTAGATATTCTCCATTCAGATATTTTGAGAATCAATCCCTCAATACCTTCAAATTATTTCACTTCAAGCACAGGTCTTCTCTGTGTATACTTGTTTTAGTCCAGCTGCCCTTTCCATCTTGGTATTCTTCAGTGCCATTTCCATTTCCTCATAGAGATCATCAAGGATTGTAGCTATGAAGTTCATACGTGGTAGCTCACTAGACCTTGATGGTGAAAAGAGACAAAATCATTACAGATCTTCTCCATTTTTCAACCGTGTATTGTTCCCTGTCCACTATAATTCATAAACGTACTCAGAAAGCCTCTCACACGATTTTCTGTAAACTTGTTTTTCCCTTCATTAACACTTGCTTTATGAGATAAAAGTATTCTAAAATAGGGGTTGGCAAACTATGACCCAACAGATAAATCTGGATCCTCCCACTGCTTTTTGTACAGCTAAGAACAGTTTTTACGTGTTTAAATAGTCTGTTCTTTTATCTATTTCCCATTTTGGGGTGTTTTGTTTAAATAGGTCAAATGTGAGTTACTTCAGTTATATGCTGCATCTTCTTATTTTTATCCTTTTTGCTTTATCTTTACTTCAACAAGTCAGTGGTCTGACTATGTATAGTATGGACAATTCTTTCAAAAATGACTCCTACACCAGGGATAATCAATTGTTTCCTATGTGTAAAAAAATAATCTATTTCATTTTTTGTGATGTCATTTGGTGCTCACCCTGTTTGGTACCTCCCAACTCTTTTCTTAAATAATATATTTGTTATTTTGTTATATGTAAATCTAAGGCTACTGTGTACTATCTACCATCTATTTATTTTGAGTTATCTTCCTTTATTTCATCTTTGAATTGAAGTCGTCCTGTAAACGAGTACATGTCAATTTAACTTGGAGGCTCTTACTGAGCTCTTCATACTACCTAATTATCAGCAACAGATGTTGCTGTAATTACTTTCATGGTGATCTTTCTGATCATGAGCATTGCATGATCAGTTGTCCCATGAAATTATCTTTCACACTACCTCTATTTAATTTTATTTTTTGGAGATTGAATCTCCTTATCTCATGCATTCTGGAAGGGCAGGGGCCACTCCTGAGCCTGATCCCAGTAATGAATGGCATAGAAACTTGAATCTGTGACCCCGACCAGTTTGTCCCTCCTTAGGTAGCCTGGTGGTGCTCCACTGCCAGGTGCTCATCAAATTGGTGCCATTGATGTTTGTCCTTCATTCTCGAAGAGGACCATGACATCAGGGAGGTGATGCCATGACATGCAAGTGAATTGGATTTAAGCAAGGCAGGGCTGTGCAAAGTCACCAGCCTCACTCTGTCCTCTGGGCCATCTGGGTCCAGTGGCCAGGTATAGATCAGGATTGGAGATGACCTTGGATACAGTGGGAGACCTTGGCCTTTTTAAGCTAAGATCTTTGGCAGGTCTCAGTAATTAAGACTAGGTAAGAAACGAGGCAGAGAATGGCCTCTTTTACCTAGTCAAAAAAAAAATCAATCTGGTTGGGGAAGACCCTCAGGGTTTCTGGCCAGAACAGAAACAATTGCTATTTACATTCATTCTGAGTCAATCTGGGCCCAAAGAATGACACAGCTCCTTCCTTCCTTCCTTCTTTCCTTCCTTCCTTCCTTCCTTCCTTCCTTCCTTCCTTCCTTCCTTCTTCCTTCCTTCCTTCCTTCCTTCCTTCCTTCCTTCTTTCCATCCTTCTTTCCTTCCTTCCTTCCTTCCTTCCTTCCTTCCTTCCTTCCTTCCTTCCTTCCTTCCTTCCTTCCTTCCTTCCTTCCTTCCTTCCTTCCTTCTTCCCTTCCTTCCTTCTTTCCTTCCTTCCTTCTGTCTTTCCTTTCTTCTTTGCTTCCATCCATCCTTCCTTCCTTCCTTCCCTCCTTCCTTCCCTCCTTCCTTCCTTTCTTTTTTATGTTGGTGCCAGATAGAGTGCAGATACCCAGTCAATGTTAGCCCTGTTGCACAGCAGAACTCCCAACCTCAAGCAGTCTACCAGCCTCCCCAGAAGCAGGCACTACTGGCAAGTGCCACCATTTGCACATGCTGCCTTTACATGAACAAAGCCACCACCTTTATATGTTACTGCCAGCAGGACATGAGAGTTACCCTCCCATTTATTTGCATTTCCTTGTGTCTCTTGCTTTCAATCAGAATTATAGTTGAATGACAAGATAGATAAAATTCAGCCCATCCAGTAGGATGTCTATACCTGGTCACCAGACAAAGATCTCACTTTAAAGTAATGATAGCTAAGTAAATGCTTATAGAAGTTCTCAAAATTGTGATCCTTAATGTCCTTTACTAGCTCCTATTTATACCACTCTGTCTCAATCACTGCAAAAATAGAATGGGAGAAACAGAATGAGGGCCTTTTTGTATTTTTCTTTGTTTCCTGAATTGTCTCAGCTAACCTATTCATCACCAAGCGGCCAAGCTATCTGCTGAATGAGCCTATCTATATTTAGCTAGGCTGGCACATAGAATGCGGCTATAGGCTGCTGCTAGGGCCATGCTCAAACCCTTTGTGGCCTGGTAGAACCTGCCAGAGTTTACATTCCCCTAGTTTTACCTTTGAGAATTCAGGGATCAATAATACCAAAATTTGAACCCAAGTCTTCTAACTGAGAGCCAGAATTCCTTCCACGATGCCATCCAACATCTATGTACATAGACCCACTGGCTGCTGAATGCATTTTGCTGAATCTGACATAATCTTCCATTCTTCAGAAAGCACTCTCAGGGATGAGTACAGTTCCGTGACAAGTCTAGAATCATAGAGAGCGTGCTGGATTAAAAAAAATAACGTGAAATAAGACCACATAGGTAGGTGGAGCCTGAAGGTATGAGGTAAATGCAAAGGATATTTTATTTTATCTTATTGGAGGCATTGTTACTATCACCTAAAAGTTCTCCATTTGGCTACATAGAACAGAAGCAACTCCACTGGACACACCATTTATTGACTTTTCTAATGTCAGGATCAGAGCCAGAAAAGTAGGGTTTACTTATCCCAGATTGTCCACTGAGTTTCTCAGTGGTGAAACCAAGGACAAATTTCTTAAAGGCTAAAATATACCGTGCCTTCACTTTATTAAGAACTGTGGACTTGAGATTTAAAGTGAGGGTTCATATTCTAGCCCAAAACATTCCGCAGTTCCTTGAACCAGTGGGAAGGGGTGGTAGTAGCCTCAGGTGTAATTGGGGGGCAAATAAAAATAAAGGGGCAGTGGAAACATAACGAAAGAAGAGAAAATAAGAAAACTTTGAAAAAATCATTCATACACATTTCATCTGTTGTGTAACAGAATTAAAGTCATAGTGATTATATTATATTCCAAATAAACACACAAAATGCAAGTTATAACTGATCAGTGGTCAAGTCAGCACATAGGTCTTAACAAGCAAGTGTTGGCAGGCGAGCGTGTCATGCATTGTCAGGAAGTCTAGCATGCATCAGCAGGAATGTGTGCATGTAATGACTTGTTTACAATATTACACTATCTGATTACATGATGCAATATTGTGTAATCAAAATTTCCATGCAGGAAAAAACCCTACAAATTTATAATAAAATATTAAATTTAAGATGCATCATTTTAAAAAAAATTATATATTTTTGAAATGACACAAATTTTTAAAAAAACATTAAAGGGTTAAAGAATGTAGATTTGGGTGGTGGGGGTGCTGAGTAACTTTTTTTTAAAAAGGGAATGGTAGGCCGCATAAGTTTGGGAACCTCTGCATTAGGATGTAAAGCTCCTTGAGGGCAGGGACTTTTTTCCTCCTTTTCTTTATTTGACCAGTGCTTAATACAATACCTAGCACAATATAAGCAGATAGCTAGGTGGTAAAGTGGATTAGAGCCCTGGACCTTGAGGACCTGAGGTAAAATCCAGCCTCAGGTACTTACTCCCTATGTAACCCTGTGCAAGTCACTTACCTCTTTCTGCCTCAGTTTCATCATTTATAAAATGGAGACAATAATAGTACCTACCTCCCAGGGGTGCTATGAGGATTAAATGAGATAACATTTGAAAAGTATTTTTAAAATAAAATGCTATGATGGAAAATGCTATTTACATCCAAAGAAGGAACTGATGGTGTCTGAATGCAGATCGAAGCACACTATTTTCACTTTATTTTTTTCATAGTTTTTTCTTTTTGTTTGTTTTTTCTTTCACAGCATGACTAATATGGAAATACATTTTACATGAGTGCACATATATAACCTATATCAAATCGTTTACTGTCTTAGTGAGGAGGGGAGGAAAAGAAGGAGGGAGAAAAATTTGAAACTCATAATCTTATAAAAAGTGAATGTAAAAATTAAAATTAAATTTCATTAAGTTAATGAAATTTAATTAAAATTTAAATGCTACATAAATGCTAATGATTATTGCTATTAATTCATTACATCGGATTTCGGATATGAGTAAAATGAGGGCAAAATAGGTGTGCTACTAGCACATCCCCTTCTAAAACTACCTTACATTCATTTTTGCATAGCTCATGTATGTACTTCTATATGTGTGAGTTGTCTCTCTCATTAAATAGAAGCATCTTGTTGGTCAGGGACTATGAAACACAGTGCCTTGGGGATAGTATCTACTTAAGAAATGCTTGCTGAATTGTTATTTGTGATATAATGTGACCAGTGCAATATCATCCTCAGACAACTGATAATGAGTTAGCACCCATGAACCACACTCTCTGCTTTTCCAAGGAAGGAACTTCCAGATGAGAACAGAAAAAAACAAATCCCTACCTGAAAGAAATTTGCCACTCAAGCTAAGCTACTTGGCCTCTTCATATGTGCTTCTTAGAAATCCCTAGGTCCTTTTAAAGCTAGATCAAGAGCCTCCTCTAAATAAAGGCCTTTCCTGATCTCCCCCGGTTGTTAGTATCACCCCCAAAATTACTTGGTATGTATATTTTTATTTACTTACCTTTATATGTATAGTTTTCCATAAGTAAAGCGTAAGCTTCTGGAGGGCAGAGAATGTTTCACCGGGTGCAATACCTTACACATAGTAGGTACTTAATAAATGTTTCTTGAACTGAATTTAATTACGAATTGAATTAATTATTAATGCAAAGAGAAGGGAAAAATTATCTGCTTTTACAATTTGTTTTCTTTGTCATTTTACCTTTGAGTTTGCTATTCAAGATGGGCAAGAGATCAAAAGCAGAATAAGAAAGAGAAAGTGAGAGAGTAAGAAGCCAATTGAACAGAGCAGGGCTAGGAGCACAGAGGAAGCCTGAGGAAGTGGAAGAAGCAGATGATCTAACCGTAGGCTTGGGTTCATGGAGCCACGAGGAGCCTTTTACCCAAGACAGAACAGGCTTGTTGATGAGACATCTCCAGGCTGCTGCAGCTGCCCATGGCAGCTGCTGACGTGGCTTGGCTTGAGCCCTCAGGGATTCTCAATGTTTTTGCTGCCTTCCTCTAGCTCCCCAGCAAGAGCTGATGGGCTAATACTGTTCTGGTATCTGAGTGAGGTCCACAGATAGGAGCTGAAAGCAGATATAAGGAGAATGAAATGAGCCATCAGGGAGATCCGTGCTGGTCAGTGACAATGAAATGTTGCTTTCACTGCCTTTAAAACACTAAGGAAGGGAGAGCCCCAGACCTGGTCAATAGCCCAAATGATGGAAGCAGTGGAGAGATTATTTCTATGCCCTTAATAATCAGCGTTAAGGAAGAAGCATGCATACTTCATCTAACCTCTGCTTTCAAAGGGGCTGGATGGGCTTTGAAGAGACATTGTAACTAAAAGTTCTGCCTATGGGCAGACAGACCTGGATTCAGTCTTCCTCTGACATACCTGGCTGTGTGACCCTAGGCAAATCACCTCTCAGCGCCCCAGCAACTCTCTAAGGTTTGGACTACACACATACACACCCACACCCACCCACACCCACACACACTAAGGAGTTCTTTCAAGATATATATATATATATATGTGGGTGTGTGGGTGTGGGTGGGTGTGTATGTATGTATGTGTGAATATGTATATGTGAATGAATATGCATATGTATATATGAATATTATGTATCTGTATAGATAGGTGTGTAGTTTTATATATACATACACATATATGTTAAGGATTTCATGTGATATATATGAATATGTATGTTATATATGTGAATATGTATATATTTGTGTATGTGAATGTGTATTTATTAGTACATGTATATGAATGTGTATATGTGTGTATGTATGTATATATATAATATACATACGTCCACACATATATGTTCTTTGATCATTCTTTCTGAGTAGGACTAATATGGGATAGGAGAAAGGGCACTGGGTATTGCAGTTAGAGGAGCAGGATTAAAATCCTGACTCTGAATGTGATCTTAAATAAGTAAATAAATGTCAAAGCCAGGACTCAAAATTCAAGTTTTCTGACTTCCAAACCAGGACTAGTGTGATATAGTGGGAGGGGGGAGGGAATATTGGGTTTAGAATCAAAAGACCTGGTTTCAAATACCAGCTTTGCCACTACTTAACCTGTCTGTGCCTCAGTTTCTTCATCTGTAAAAGGTGATTTTTGGACTAGTTGATTTGTTAGGTCTCTTCCAGTTATAAATTATGACCCTATGATTCCTGATATTGATTGAGGAGGTTGAGAAGGGAGGCAGAAGAAAGAAGAAAATAGTGAAAAGCAGCCAAAAGAAGGGGTATAATTAACTTTTATTTTTCCAATTAATAAAAATCCATTTTTCCCTCCCTCCTACATCTACCATTTTAAAAAAGGTGGAGGGGAGCCCTTTTAATAAATATGCATAATAAAGTAAAAAATAAATTCCTCCATTGGCCATGACCAAAAATGTGTGTCTCATTCTGTACCCTAAGTCTATCATCTACTCTGTCGGGTAGTGGGTTCACATGCTTCTTCATGAATCCTCTGGTCATTGCTTGGATCAAGTCTTTCAAAATTGCTTATTTTTACAGTATTGCAATTACATAAATTGTTCTCTTGATTCTGCTCATTTTATTCTGCAGCAGTTCGTACAAGTCTTCCTAGGTTTCCCTAAAACCAGCCCACTCCTCATTTCTTGTGGTACAATGGTACTCCATTCATTCATATACCACAAGTTGTACAGTCATTCCTCCATTGATGGGTATCCCCTTAGTTTCTGGTTCTTTGCCACTACAAAAAGAGCTGTTATTAATAACCAATTATATTATTCATTAATAATTAATAAATTCCCATTAGTTGCAGTAACTATTAATGTTAATATTTTTGTGTGGGCGGGTCTTTAAGAAAGGGGAGTTTTTAAAGGAGATAACGTGTAATAGGCAAAAGTTCAGCTACAGTCATAACTGGCAGCGGATAACAGGGTAGGGAAGATGCCCTGCCCAGAGTCTGAAAGCTCAAGATTTACCCAAACACTCATCTTGCTACTTTCCTTGCTCAAGAACTCAGCACCCCAAGTTCAAGGAGAGAAGGGCTTCCATGCCACCTTTTGGTCACTGAAGGATCTGCTGCCCTCTGGGTCCAGGAAACTGCAATCAAGTCTTCTTGAATTGCAAAATCACATGAACTACTTAGCTCCAAGATTCTTTAAAAAGGAAAGGTTTTAGTGAAAGGTCTGGGGAACAGGTAATGAAACATACCTTCAATAGTGATTGGAGTGTTGGACTTGGAGTCAGGAAGACCTGACTTCAAATCCCATCTCAGACACTTACTATGTGGACCCGGGCAAATGACTTAACCTTTCTGATTCTTGATCTGTAAACTGAAAAGATTAAACTCAACCAAAGATTCTAAACTCTGGGTGTGTAAACAGATTTTAGGTGCTCTGTGAACTTGGATGGGAAAAAAATGACATCTTGACATTCACTAACCTCTAACTGAAATTTAGCCTTTCCTTTGATTATTTTTAAAATGACTTTTAAAAATAAATTTATTTATTTTTAGTTTTCAACATCTACTTTTATAAGATTCTAAGTTCTAAAATTTTCCCCTTCCCTGCCCTCACCCCTCTCCAAGATGGCATGCAATCTGATAGAGGCTGTACATGTACAATCATATTAAACATATTTCCACATTAGTCGTGTTGTGAAAGAATCAGAACAAAAGGGGAAAACCAAAAGGAAGGGAAAAAAATTTCTTCTTGAAAAGAGATCTATAGAGATCTCTTTACTACAATGTCAAAGAAAAAGATGCTGAGTCCCCAGACTAGGTGAATTCAAAGTCAGTTCCAGCTCTAGACGGTATGCTATCTATACGATATGATACATATGACCCTATAATCTTTATAGCAAAGAGGAGGGAGTACGTTGAGGCAGGATGTTACACACATTGTCAAATGAGTCCACTATGTTAGATAGTATTGCCAATTATTTTTCATCATAAGAGAGGTTCAGTCCAGAGGGGAAAGTTTGGGTTTTGTTTTTTTCTTTTCTTTCCCCCTAGAAAATGATTATGATGAAAAGACAAAAGGCATTAATAAAATTTTGGTTTTTTTTAAAGGAGCTCATTTGTCTGAATTGTCAAGAACCATCAAATTTCTTTCATGCTCTTAAGTGTGTCAATTTTGTCTTACTTTCCTTCTCTCTAAAAAAATAATTTGACATCATCTTTCAATTAAAAAAACATGAAACCTGTAAAGGACTTCAAATAAGATTTAATTCAATCCACTACAAATTTACAGATAATTAAAACATGTACTAAGAACTTACTATGCGCCAAGCACTCTCCTAAGTGCTGAAGAGACAAATACATATAAGCAAGGCAATTTCTGCCCTCAAGGAACTGATATTTTATTGGAGGAACAAAATATACAAAGGGGAGCTTAAAAAAAAAATAAAGGAGAAGCAAAGGGCGTACACCAGTTAGCAGCAACATGGACTTGGACATGGGTGGGAAGAGCTGGGTCTGGGCAAGATAAGGCTTATCAAAGCCCAGGGTGGTGCCAGGGACACCGGCCAATTTTCTGGTGGGGAAGAGGTAGAGATGTTAGCTGGAATGGAGCCTCTGGCATAGACTCATCATGTGACTGGGAGCAAATCACTTTGTTTCTCCATGCTCTATGTGACTCTCTAAGGTTCTAAATTGTAAAGAAGGTGCCCCCTGCATTGATAGAGAGTTTATTCCTCTGAGAGCTCCCTGCACAAATGAAATCACAAATCATAATCCCTAATCTTATTATACTACGAAATTGATGAAAGTAGATGATAGATTAGTCATTGTCTTTCTGACAAAGCTGACTGGCCATGGTCTTGGAGGTCTTTTTATTTTTTTATTTTTTTTGGAGGCAATTAGGATTAAGTGACTTGTCCAGGGTCACACAGCTAGTGTCTAAGATCACATTTGAATTCATATCCTCCTTACTCCAAGCCTGATGCTCTATCCACTGCACCGCCTAACTGCCCCCTGTTGGCCTTTTTAAAAAATTGAGGCACTCTACAAAATGTCCATTGGGAGTCAAGGGAGGAGATTAGTCTAAGGAATGTGCCCTCTAGAAGCCTGGGAGAAAAATCATCTACAAAGGAAGAACATAGGTTGTTTTTTAAAAAATTAATTAATTAATTAATTTTTAGTTTTCAACATTCACTTCCATAAGATTTTGAGTTTTAAATTTTCTCTACCTCCTTCTCTCCCCTCCCCAAGACGGAATGCAATCTGCTATAGGCTCTACATAAACATTCCTATTAACCATATTTTCAAATTAATCATGTTGTAAAGAGGAGTTGGAACCAATAGGAAGAACCACAAGAAAGAGGAAACAAAATAAAATAGAAGGGAAAAAAAGAGCAAATAGTGTGCTTTGATCTGCATCCAAACTTCATAGTTCTTTTTCTGGATGTGGATGGCATTTTCCATCATGAGACTTTGGGAAATGTCTTAGATCCTTGCATTGCTGAGAAGAGCTAAGTCTAATAAAGTCAGTCATCGCATAATGTGGTTGTTATTGTGTATAAGATTCTCCTGGCTCTGCTCATTTCACTCAGCATTAGTCCATGCAAGTCTTTCTAGGTTTTTCTGAAGTCAGCCTGTTCATCATTTCTTATAGCACAACACTATTCTGTTACATTCCTATACCACAACTTGTTCAGCCATTCCCCAATTGATGGGCATCCTCTCAATTTCCAATTCTTTGCCACCACAGAAAGCACTGCTATAAAGATTTTTGTACATGTGGGTCCTTTTCCCATTTTTATGATCACTTTGGGATATAGCCCTAGAAGTGATATTGCCGGATCAAAGAGTATGCACATTTTTATAGCCCTTTGGGCATAATTTCAAATTGCTCTCCAGAATGGTTGGATCATTTCACAACTCCATCAACAATGTATTAGTGTTCCAATTTTCCCACATCTTCAACATTTATCATTTTCCTGTTTTGTCATGTTGGCCAATCTGATAGGTGTGATGTGGTACCTCAGAGTTGTTTTGATTTGCATTTCTCTAATCAATAATGATTTAGAGCATTTTTTCATATGACTATAGATAGCTTTAATTTCTTCATCAAAACTGCCTGTTCATATCCTTTGACCATTTATCAATTGGGGAATGATTGTATTCTTATAAATTTGACTTAGTTCTATATATATTTTAGAAATGAGGCCCTTATCAGAGACATTGGTTGTAAAAAATCTTTCCCAGTGTTCTGCTTCCCTCCTAATTTTGGTTACATTGGCTTTGTTTGTGCAAAAACTTTTCAATTTAATGTAATCAAAATTATCCATTTTGCATTTCATAACGTTCTCTATCTCTTGTTTGGTCATAAATTCTTCTGTTCTCCATAAATCTGACAGGTAAACTATTCCTTACTCTCCCTGTTTGCTTATAGTATCAGCCTTTATATCTAAATCGTGAACCCATTTTGACTTTATTTTGGTGTATGGTATAAGGTTTTTTTGGTCTATGCCTAGTTTCTGCCATACTCTTTTCCA